CTGCCGCAGTTTGTTTCACCTCTTCAAGGCCGCCGGTTGCAATTCACACGCCTTCCGTCAGACAATCTGCGAGTTTGACGGTACAAAATCATCAAACTGCAGAAGCGATTGGAGGGCTGGGCAGAGCAATTTGCTCTTCAATTTAATTACCCAGTGGGATGGGGCTGAACATACTGTCGACTGGAAATGTTGTTGTAACGAAAAGCAGATGGCCAATCGAATGCCACTGGGCATCTCGCGCAGTACCAGACAGGTGCACTTCACCCCGATAGAGAGTGAGCATGCCGTCGGAGGCAGATTGGTTAACCAAGCAACGAATGGTTGGCGCCCACCCACATCGAGCTCTGCAAGCTTAGCCAGCAATCATCTACAAAACGTGCAAGTGACCAATCAGGCGCTAGCTAGTTCCAAAAGCACAGGCGGAGAAGCGCATACTCGTAAGGAGCTTCTTGGTGCGCACTTAAGTCATGCTTTATGGTTTTGGACCGAGGAAAGCAGCGCGCGACCTGATGGACGAGTGCCCAATCGAGCCAGTCGTACGATCCACCAAGAAAGTCAAGGTAATTTTAGACATAATGAATGTGGCGAGCAAACGTAAATCAATGGAAAGGGAGTCAGCGAACAAATGCCAATAACAAGGATGAGTCAGTGAAGCGGCCTGTTACAAATAGTGTATGTAATCTATAAATATGCGAGCGTAATCTTAGTAGACGACTTCGTGATCGCGGCCCAGTCATCTTATTTTCCCGAGGGCTACTTGATACCCAGCACGACCCTTTGTGGCACCTCCATCTCCATCGGACAGTGCTTGATCTCTTCCCACTGACCCTTCTATCGAAGTAGGGATCCGAAGTGCCATCCTAGCTTTGAAACGGTTTAATGCTCCCAGCTATAACAGCCCTCCTCCGGCTCTTTACAAAGATGGCACGGATGTACTTGTCAACCTATTGCTGTTGCTTTTCACGTAGGTTTGAACTGATGCGAAGGTCCTCAACACATGAGGAGACTCAATCGTTGTCCTGCTTCACAAGAAAGACCCCCGCGAAGATTGCGCTTATTACCGCGGAATCTAGCTGATCCAGTTGCTTCCAAAATTTTTGTGTCCATCTTACTTCGCAGGTTTTCCTCCACCAGAGTTTTTCCATAGAAGAACAAGCCGATTTTCACTCTAGTCAAATTTGCATTGATCAAATCTTCATGCTCCGACAAATTAACGGTTCGGTGAGGGAGGTTAGAAGTTGAGCTTCGATCTGACAAGTCGATTGCTTGGTACCGAGCTTGATCTGTGGCAATCGACCTCAGCATCGTTCGTTCTAGCTGGCCAGGGAAGCTGTAAGGCATGGAGCAACTTCTTTGCGAGCATAATGAAGGTTGAAACAACTGAATGCAAATCGATTCAGCTGTCGCAAGCGCATGGAGGCGCAAAACTCTTGATTGATGCTGGGGGACCCTGTAAATTATCCTGAAGGCACGCTTTAGATCAACTTGGGGCCTCGTGTCCACCGTGGGGGCCAGAACGGTGCTGCTAATGGCCCCAGTTCCTCCTTGACCCGACCAGCGCGGGTAGTACTCCTTCACGCGTTTGGACAAGTGCCGTGCCGTTCGACCAATATAAGTAGCGTTACAAGCGCACTTGAACTGATAAATAACCAAAGATGAGGTCGGCAATGGCAGCATATCCTTATTGCGAGAACAAACAAGTGGTTCACTTGAAAAGGTACACTTTAACCTGCCTGCTGGGAATGTCGAGTTGACTGCCGCTGAAAGACTTTTGGTTAGGCGCTCGGCAGCAGCATCCCCTTTAAAAGGTAATCTTAAAAATAACTCCGTCTTCTCCGAGGTTAAACCTGGTACCGGCTTGGGTTTTTCTTCAACATTCTTTGCAACAAATCTATCAGGGTAGCCATTCTCGCGCAGCGTATTCTTTATAAAGGCTAGTTCCTCATCCAGGGTGTCCTGTGAGCAAACTCTACGTGCTCTTGTGGTAAGACAGTGGATTAAGTTTCGCTTATTTCAGCGGGACGAAACTGTGAAAATTCGTGTACTGCATTGCAATTTACCTACGAGGCAGAAACTTGCAAAAACTTTCTACTGAACCACTTGTTTGTTCTCGCAATAAGGATATGCTGCCATTGCCGACCTCATCTTTGGTTATTTATCAGTTCAAGTGCGCTTGTAACGCTACTTATATTGGTCGAACGGCACGGCACTTGTCCAAACGCGTGAAGGAGTACTACCCGCGCTGGTCGGGTCAAGGAGGAACTGGGGCCATTAGCAGCACCGTTCTGGCCCCCACGGTGGACACGAGGCCCCAAGTTGATCTAAAGCGTGCCTTCAGGATAATTTACAGGGTCCCCCAGCATCAATCAAGAGTTTTGCGCCTCCATGCGCTTGCGACAGCTGAATCGATTTGCATTCAGTTGTTTCAACCTTCATTATGCTCGCAAAGAAGTTGCTCCATGCCTTACAGCTTCCCTGGTCAGCTAGAACGAACGATGCTGAGGTCGATTGCCACAGATCAAGCTCGGTACCAAGCAATCGACTTGTCAGATCGAAGCTCAACTTCTAACCTCCCTCACTGAACCGTTAATTAACTATGTAATTTGAGCCAATGAGTCGATTTCAGTCCATTATTTTACCCTTAAATATGATTGCAGTGGTCCGAAGAGAATCATCGAAAACAATTGTTCGCCTATGGTCTCGTGTTCTTTTGACTCTAAATGTGCATTTTCAAGTTGCTCCGACAAATTCTCGAGCTCCGCCACGTCCACTGTTGACCAACAATCGTAGGATTCCTTGAAAGCCGCGCGGCTTTCGATTCAGTAGATAGAGCTGCTTTGTGGCATTGTCTACTGAGGAAGGGTGTGCCCGACAAGTTTGTCACCATTCGGGGGAACTGTACAGTCACACGTCGGGCAAATTAGGGCTTATGGCAGGCTTTTCTCTTCGTTTGCTGTCACCAGCGATGTTTGCCAAGGTTGCCCTAGTTCACCTTTCCTCTTCAATTTTGCCATCGGAGATGTGGTGTTGCGAGCGCTAGAGGGTGTCCAGACTTGCGGTGTTGAGATTCTCCCTGGCACCAGAATCGCAGATTTTGACTGCGCCAATGACATTGCTTTACTGGTTGACGATCTGCAAACAGTCCAAAACACCTTGGTCCGCTTAGCGGTTGTAGCATCCAATTATGGTTTTTATTTCACCCCAGCCAAATATTAAGTGTTATTGCAGGATTGCCAGGGACCTGCGTTCGTGCTCAACATTGCTGGTGGCATTCTGGAACAAGTGGATTGCTTCACTTATCTAGCGAGTCACATCACGGCTGGTGGCAGTGTTGGAGATGAGGTTTCACGGCGCATTACAAGAGCCAGCCTTGTTTTCATCAAACTCATCCACCTATGACGTCGCCGTGATGTCAGTCTCAAACTCAAGAGCAGGTTGTACGATCCTTCCGTACGGTCCAGCTGTACGGCTGTAAGACCTGACCTATTCTTTTGGAAGACATTAAACGACTACCAGTTTTTGGCAACCGTTGTCTGCGCAGTATTATTCATGTCTAGCTGCAACTTCACATAAGCAATACGGAGGTTCGTGAACGAGTGCTTAGAACGAACAGTCTCAGCCTTCAAGACGTTGTTCTCCGACACCGCAGGCATTGACTCGGGCACGTACTGCGGATGCCAGACTATCGCTTTCCCCGGCGAGGGTTATTTGTGCTTCCGGGAAGCGACTGGAAAATGTGTCGCAGTGGACGACCAATGACGTGGGAAAGGATAATGAAGATAGCTGCCTCAAGCTTAGCTTCCTTCGGATCAGTGCGCCTCCTAGGTTGGGAACCACGTGACTTGGAATTCCTATGGTTTCAAACGCTGAATGTGATAGCACCTAACAGACATCAGCGGTGCCAGTGTTGTTGTGCCTTTTTATCTGCTGATTAATCTCCATTATCTAAAAACCAAAAATGCTAAACGGCGTCTACAAAACCCAAAATAGAGCTATCATTTTTCTTGCTTTCTTTCGTACCTTTATTCTCTTCCTTTTTGCTATGTTTCTATTGGCGCATTGTATTCAAACTTTCAAAGGTTTGAACTGATGAAAATGATACCAACTCATGGAGAGACTTGATCTTTGTCCCGATTCACAAGGAAGGCCCCCGCAAAGATTGCGCTAATTACCGCGAAATGTCGTTGATTTCTTTTGCCCTAGTTTACCTTTCCTCTTCCATTTTTCCATTGATTTAATGCAACGCGCGCTAGAAGTTGAAGAAGCTGTCGCATACCGCCAGAAAGTGATTATGCAGAGTTCAGTGGGAGCTGATTCATTTCTGCCCATTTATTATTACTTTCCAGATCGTTCTGTTGATAGGCCCGGTCGGATGTTGAACTAATTGCTCTCCACATCTTCGGATTGAATACACGGCTCTTCAGGAGCGTTTATTCTTTTCACAACCCGGTAATTGCAACTGACAAACCAAGAGCCTTTACCATTCTCCTACGCATGCTTTTCAAGTGTGATGATGTGACAGGCAGGTTTGTTGTTACGTGTCCACAGATATTCGACGCGTTTTCGATGCTTTGTTCGAAGTCTAAGCGGCATCCGAAAGCATTCGATTACTCTAAACTGATCAATCCATAAGTGAACATATTGGGGTGCACCACCAAACTTGGGTTATATGGATGGCGATGCAACGGGCATCGGACACATTGTCGACGTTTCACTCGGAAATGCCCATCTATTGAGCCTCACTCGACAGTTATCTATTGCAATTTAAACACTAGAGCACTCGGCTTTACCGAGGTCATAAAAGTAGTTGTTGCCGTCTAACTGTTTCCCAAACGTTTCCGACTCGTGCATGTGCCTATGAGAACATTCTTCTGTGCCTTCTTATTGAGCTTACAAGATGTCGCTTCTTTGAGGTCATTCAGATAGTATAAGGTGTAGCTATCGAGCAGCACCTATCTTCCTATTGTTTTGTTCATCTGCTGGTTCTTTGTTTTTCGCAGGTTAAATTCGAATTCAAGTCACCTATTTACGCGAAGGTAACTGGACTCTTTTTCGACCAACTGGTGACCACGATGGTGAATTCATTCCTTGATCGTGCCAAGGTTTTACACGGACCTTCCTCCATTGCGCCACAGAAACCAGAAGTACTACTCTACAAAAAGTAGTCCCACAGAAACGGCCTGTCGCAACAGAACCACATGGAGGCAGTGAGCTCTTTTCACACAACGACTCCACTCCGATGCATCCAGTCGCATCAATTGCTACTTTTTAACTATTCGGCGGGTTCGGCAGCCTCTTCTATCAGATCCTATTTCTCACTACTATGTTGCCCTGTCATTATCATTTTTCTCTTCCAAAAGATAGATTGTTTTAACCGATTAAGCGTTTTACATTTTCGGAATGTTTGTTTGTGGTTTTGCCTGCTTGCCTTTCTAGTAGTCTGTGAAATACCTTAGATAAAGGTTTGATTTCTTACAAATTTCGTGAGCAGGTTACAATGTGTTCACCCATGTAGCTCCACTTTCGTCCATTCGATTTCAGCTTTTACTCAGTATTAGTACCTTTGGGTCTCTTTGTTGTTATATTATCATCAGCTTCTTATCTGTTGTCATTTGACATGATTGTGTGAATTGCACTGTTTTCTTTAGCGGAATGTGAATGCTAGCCTTCGTGGTTATGTTCAATTTCCACTTTTATCTAGATAAGTTCGAATCTTCAAAACATGCATACCAAAATCTTTCACATACACATTCAGCACTCCACTGCATTCTCATTGAATCCATTTATCTCATCACTTGTGTACTTTTGCTCTTATTCCTTAGACTGATCTGTTGCATTAAGATAATTTGGGTCTGCGAATCTGACTTGCTCAATGGTCGCAACTATACCATTTTCCTTTGAAGTTGGACATTCGGGCAAAACATTTACGCCTGGGGGTCAACGGGGTTGCTCCTCCAGGGCAATCAAGTTGAGTCTTCGCTATGCGGAATAGAACCACTCACTGGCATGGTAGGGGCTGTTTCCTTGGCCAATCGTCTGAGGTCCTATTTGCTGAAGGCGCTTGGCCAATGAAACAGCCCCTACCATGCCAGTGAGTGGTTCTATTCCGCATAGCGAAGACTCAACTTGATTGCCCCGGAGGAGCAACCCCGTTGACCCCCAGGCGTAAATGTTTTGCCCGAATGTCCAACTTCAATGGAAAATGGTATAGATCAAAACCGTTTGGACTAATGGGATTTTGATTCGCTAATAGCCTATGCAACGGCTCCCCCCTCTTCATAAGGGCGCACGGACTACATCTTTTTTTCTCCGATTTTGTTTTGTTTCTGGTTGTAAACTATGATTCCAACACAACGATGTATTTCCAGATGTAACTGGGCAGGTTGAGACCCTCTTGACGGCGCCATGACCTCCGTCACTCCATGAAATGGCGGATTCATTGTGCGACTGTCCGCGACACATAGCCTCTTCATACCCTTGACATGCACTGCCTGTCTGTCTTCCAGCACCGTTGCTTGCGGTCCATTGCCCGTGTTTCGTGGCTGCACCACGTAACTAACGTGAAGTTAAACAGCGTGTCTTGGGTGGAGACAGCCACTGCTTCGAGGAGCTCGTCCCGCTGCGTCAGATGCGTTAGCTTAGACAGGTACTGCGCATGACCAATTATCGTGTTAGGCGTCATGCTTTGTTCCCGGTTGTTGGAGGATACAGCGCGGTGAACGACCTACGACTTGAGGAAACGGTATGAAAAAACTGACGAAACAGTCGTTTGTTCTCGATTCCCTGGTTGCAACTGCATTTATACGGAGTGTCGCTGGTTTAGACCCCTGGTAGTCATGGCTCAAAACCGATGGTGGCGGACGTGTGTCTCTGCGTGTTTGCGGTGATTCCCTTTCCCTTCCTTAACAAAGACAAAGAAGTATACATACTCGGAACTGGACACAACTATTGCACTTTTTTGTTCCGGTCTAGTTTTCCTAATGCACCATGATTCCGATGGCACAATATATGTGCCGCATCTATGTACATAGTTGACGACATCCGGTTCCGGATTTGTCGGTTACTGTAGCCTCCTTAGGCAGCCACAGGACGCCTGCGCCTAAAGAGGGACCATGGGTGGCTTGCGCTGCACCACTCACAGCCTCATCTTCACACCCCTTATCCAGTGTAAACCCGAAGGAATAAAACCGGAAGGCATGTGGATGGGAACCACGTTTCATCAACGGAGCCGGCCTACACTTTCAGCGTGCACAGCGGCAGCATTCCAGTCTATCTATGTAGGGATTCATTCGTACCAGACATACACAGACGGTGGTTGGGCCGTAGCCCGTTCCGCATGGAACCACTCTTTGAGCCTGGCACGGCCATGAGGACCGTGCACCCTGTTACCACAACAACGATTCACAGTATCCTGGAGCCAGTGATCGAGCTGAAGGCTAATAGACAGGTGGGCACATTGTCAACATTCACATCAAGTGCAGCCATACCAGGTTTGCCGAAAAACCAACATAGAAATCAAGGGAAGGCAAACATGCAAAACTGACGCAAAATATGCAACAGAATTGAACAAACCGAATGGAGTGGAATGGCTTATCATGATTAAAGAGACCTTGATTACATGCAAGTAGCTTTAGCCCAGCTGCGGTGAAGAAACATAACGCATCCTATATATATATATATATATATATATAACAAACTTACACTTAAACTAGGTCTTTTTAAGCTGGATAAATTTCATTCCACTTTATTTGATTTGTTCTGCCTACCTGAATAATGTTCCATTAACTGGCCACGTTGCTTACGCTAGTTTCGCTTATCTTCGGTAATTCTGTTGCGTTTGTAGCATTTGTAAGTAATTTGTGGCCATTTCTTACTTGTCGCGGATTCGTTGCTAAACAACTCACTTCATATGGTAATTTAGGGAAGAGTTATGCCACCGTATCTGTATGCATTATTGGATTTATTTTATTTCGGCTTGTCGTTTAAGGTGAATGGCTGTGCTTGATATCCCCGGTGTGACTGCGCTTGATGTGCATGTTGACCAGGTGTCTACCTGTCTATTACTCACTACCTCGTTCATACTGGCTCCAGGAGACAGTTTGTCGTTGCTGGAGGGGACGGGGTGCACGGTCCTTGTGGCCGTGCTAGGCTCAAAGAGCGGTTCCATGCACTCAGTGTGGAGCGGACTACGGTCCAGCCACCGCCTTGCGTGCGCTTGATTCCACAAATACAGCGTGCTTGTGTTTGCCTGTGAAGGAGTGTGGGCCGGCTCCGTTGATGAAACGTGGTTCCCATCCGCATGCCTCCCGGTCTTATTCCTTCGTGTTTACACTGGATATAGAGCGCGTGGATGGAGCTGTGGGTGGTGCAGCGCAAGCCACCCATGGTCCCTCTGTAGGCGCAGGCGTCCTGTGGCTGGCCACAGTGACAGGCAATCCGAAACCGGATGCCGCCAACCATATATATATATATATATATATATATATATATATATATATATATATATATATATATATATATATATATATATATGCTGAGGCTGATGTTGCATTCTTGATGCTTCTTCACCGCAGTTGGGCTAAACCAACTTACACTTAAACTAGGTCTTTTTAAGCTGGCTAAATTTCATTCCGCTTTATTTGGTTTGTTCTGCCTCCCTGAATAATGTTCTATTAACTGGCCACGTTGCTTACACTAATTGCGCTTATCTTCGGTAATTTTGTTGCGTTTGTAGCATTTTAAGTAACATGTGGACATTTCTTACTTATCACGGATTTGTTGCTAACCAACTTACTTCATATATTGTATTTAGCGAAGAGTTATGCCACCGTATCTGTATGCATTATTGGATTTATTTTATTTCAGCTTGTCGTTTAAAGTGAACGGCTGTTGTTTGATATCCCTGGTATGGTTTCGCTTGATGTGTATGTTGACAAGGTGCCTACCTGTCTATTACCCACTACATCGTTCATACTGGCTCCAGGAGACAGTTGGTCGTTGCTGGAGGGGACGGGGTGCACGGTTCTTGTGGCCGTGCTAGGCTCAAAGAGCGGTTCCATGCACTCAGTGTGGAGCGGACTACTGTCCAGCCACCGCCTTGTGTGCGGTTGATTCCCCAAATACAGCGTGCTTGTGTTTGCCTGTGAAGGAGTGTGGGCCGGCTCCGTTGATGAAACGTGGTTCCCATCCGCATGCCTCCCGGTCTTATTCCTTCGGGTTTACACTGGATATGGGGTATGTGGTTGGAGCTGTGGGTGGTGCAGCGCAAGCCATCCATGGTCCCTCTGTAGGCGCAGGCGTCCTGTGGCTTGCCACAGTGACAGGCAAATCCGAAACCGGATGCCGCCAACCATATATATATATATATATATATATATATATATATATATATGAGAGAGATAGAGCGACAAAGAAAATAACTCGATTAATGCATAAGGAAACGGTGGCATAAACCTTAAGTTAATGTGCATTTGGAATAAGTTGTTTACAAACCAATCCTAGATAAGTTCACTAGGTCAGAAAGTATACTTTACGGAAATGCCACGAAAACAAAAATGTTATCGAAATCGACTACAGTTGGCTTAAGCGAGGTGTGCAAGTTAATGGAATAGAGTACAGGTAGACATTTATATGAGAATGAAAAGTATTAAGGCAAAATTGGAAACCCATCACCTGAAATAAGGAGACTTAGCATGCAAGCACGCAGTTAGTAAATTGGATGCAGCATACCCATATATATATATATATATATATATATATATTGGGGGAGAAAAAGGATGATTAATTGTCAACGAATCGTCAACTTGAGCTGTTCAACAGCTTTGAACCATGTTAACGACCTGCTTGATTGCTTCACCCCCTGATGTCATTTCTTTTTGCAGACGATATTAACGTTGTTTTTTCTCTTGATGTAAACGGAGCAGGAACTGGCATGTCCATGTTCAGAGCGATCTCACGGCATTTAATCGGTGGTATAACCACTGGAATATGGTAATCTCATCAGCTAAGTGTAACGCCATCTCCTGTCACTGTAGGTTTCCGTCCAATGCACTGAGAATAGACGAATTACCGACTGCCAGCTGTGTTATATTACGTGATCTTTGAGTACACTGCTGTAGTTCACCAAACTTCGCCAAACACGCAAGATGTAGTATGGGCAATCCCGGACCAGTTATCTGCTATATTTGTAAGTCCATATTGCTTAGGGATCTAGGTGAAGCGGGGGATTCCAGCACTAGTCACGGCTGATGGATACACGCGATCAGCAGTGGAGACAGCTAATCTCCTACGGCTTCATTACTCCCAAACGTTCCAGCAGCTGACGAGCCCAACTATTCTCCTTGTTTCTATTACTCCACCGCCTGGTTTCGACAATATC